GTCTGCGGCTCTTCTTCCTTCGCCTCTGGAAATACGGTCAACAGCTGTTGCGTCTCCTGCTTCACCCGCAGAGCAAACAGGCGCACCAGCAGCAGCGGGCAGCGGCGGGCGTCGCCCTGAAAGAGGGGAGCAGGGCGGAACAAGGAGGAAGGGGGGGGGGGTGACGGAAAGGGGGAAGCGATGAGGATCCTGGGAGTGCAATGGGAGTGATGCAATGAGCAAACAGGCGGACTAGCAGCAGAGGGCAGTGGCGGGCGTCGCCCTGAGAGAGAGGAGCGGAGCAAGGGGAGGGTGCAGAGGAGAGAGAGGGGGGCAGGGGAAAGAAGGGGAACAGGGGGAATCGTTCTGAGACGCTTTAGAGTGCTGCACCCGCAGGGCAAAGAGGCGGACTAGCAGCAGCAGGGAATGAAAGGGTGGCGCGGGCAGGGGCAGGAGAGGCGAACCGGGAGGGGAGGCGAGAGGGGGGAAGAAAAGGTGGGATGCGTTGTGAGAGAAACATTTGAAAGACCTCACCATCTGTTGGAGCTTCCAACGCATTTTCCAGCACCGCACCAACGCACTCCTTCTCACCTCATCTGAGCCGTTCATCGTCATTTCTTACCTCATCTGAGCCGTTCATCCTGTCCCGGGCCATGCCTGCCAGCTCATCCGCCATCTGCTGCAGCTCCTTCACCTCGCTGCCACGTGGCAGCGCGCCAGTGGTCAGCGGCGCCAGCAGCAGCGTGTCATACGCAGCCATGGCGTCTTGTACGGCGAAAAAGAGGTCGTTCCACTCCAACGCCAATGAGGGGCACGCTGTGAGGTCGAAGCACGATGAGCCTGAGAGGACAGGGGGGCGGGGAGGGGAGGAGATGGAGCAGCGGCAGCGTGTCATACGCAGCCATGGCGTCCTGTAGGGCGAAGAAGAGGTCATTCCACTCCAGCGCCAGTGAGGGGCATGCTGTGAGGTCGAAGCACGATGAGACTGAGGTAAACGATGGCGGAAGCAGGAGGCAGGTCAACACGAGGGAGGCCAACGCAGGGTTGGAAGGAGGTCAACGCAGGGGATTGGTGGAGGGTGGTCAACGCAGAGGGGAGGTGGCACCTACCAGGCAGGAAAGGCGCATCAGTCATAGACAGCTGCTCCGACCAATCCCGGCCCGGACTGCTCGTCGTAGACCCTCCCTCTCCTCCTCCGCCTCCCCCTCTCGCTCCCCCTCCCCTTCCACTGGGGACGGAAGCAGAAGCGGGCAGATGGGGCGTGATAGGCCCTGAGCCACCGGCTCTAGCCAGGGTAGGGGCTGTGGCGTCTGTAGAACCGTCAGGGACGGAAGAGGAGTGCGAGAGGGAGAGGTTCGAACGCAAGTCCGCGGATCGACGGCGGACGTGCGTGCGAGGAGGGGTGTCCGCAATCCCTCCTGCTGCACCTGCTGTTGCAACTCCTCCTGCTGCTGCTGCTGCTCCTGCTGCTGGAGCAGGGGAGGCTACCTGGGGGGAATGGAACCGTTGCAGGTATGCAGCGGCGCCTGCTCTACTGAAAGGCTCCGTCCTCATAACGGGACCGTCTGCACCGTGTATGGGGGACGTGCCCTTGCTCCCACCAGGGGTTGTCCCGCCAGACTTATGCTGAAACTGCTGTTTGCCAATAATGGGGACAGCCACTGTCCCCATATCATTCCCTAGACTAACCGCCCTCGCAATGCCGCTAATCCTTCCTCCTCCTCCGCCGCCCGCGGCTCCGCCTCCTCCACTGCCTGTTCCCGTGGACGGGCGGTATGGGCGGGTGGCGCTGCGGCTGAGGACGCCCCTGCTTCCGCCGCACATACTGCTGCCCCGCGCGCTGCTGCTGGCGATAGAACTGGATGTGAATATAGAGGATGACATGTGGCTCTGACCAATGGCGCTGCGATTATAGTCGTCTGCGAGAAATAACGGAAAGGACAACGGAATGGACGGTGGAGATTAAAGAACGAAAATTGACGCAGTCGGTGGCAACTGTGCGTTTGTCTGACGTGCACATCCCATAATTTTTGCAATATCGTGTGATAAGACGTCGCAAATCTGCTCTGCCTTTCAGTAAACAGTATACTTTTCCACAATAGCCTCTGCTCGTGACGGAGCTGGCATCGCGCCAAAGGAACAGACACGCAAAAAAAAAAAAAAAAAAAAAAAAAAGACACGAACACGAGAAAAAAAAAAACGGCTTACGAGAAAAACCAATGGTTTGTGCACCGTGGTCCGACTACTGTGACATTACCTGTGTCCCCATAAGCGTTGTTGTAGGGGTCGAGCTCGAGGACTCTATTATTGAGGTTCCTAAGAAAAAAAAAAATGGCGTGTATACCACGTCCCGTTACGTTACCTGTGTCTCCTTCGGCATCGTTCCAGGGGTCAAGCTCCGAGAGGCACGCGTTCAAGACTTGAAGCAGTCGCTCGCACTTCCACGCCACACGCGCACTGTGCCTCTCCGCATCCTTCTCCGCTTTCTCCGCCTCCTTCCCCGCATCGGGGACGGACAGTTCCGCGGTTTGCGCGACTCCTGCGTCATTGCTCTGCGACGTCTCAGAAGAAACGGCCGACGGTTCTGCAGATTGCGATACTCTAGCGGCTTCTCGCGAGTGATAAGCGCTTACAGCGGGGATAAGCGCGCCGAACGCGAGTTCGACCAACGATGCGGGACACGAGACATCGTTAGGGCCGGGAGACCCGACTCGACCGAGCAGCCATGTGCGCTTTTGCGAGGAACCAGTATGGATTCCACTCGCACTCGACATTGCATTACTATGTCAGAATATTAGAATATTATTACTAAGTAAGCGGCGTAGTCAAGGTTAGATTCAAGAGGCGTGGCTTTGGAACGGAAAGTGGAAACCTTCACAGCGGATATGTGTCTTAGCGCTTTGAGAGTAGCCTATGTCTGGGCAACGGTGAACATAAATTAGGGCATATATTTCTTAGGCTAGCTCAAGTTAGGAAAGTCAATTGCGTCAAATAGTTATCGCAAAAAGCAATGCCGTGCCGAGCTGGTGTCTAACTGCTTGGAAGCCTAACTTGCAAGCCTGCCCTGCTGAGTCAACTCGCCGTTCTGAGCTGGTTTCCTGCTGCTTGGCTCGCTGTCAGGAACAGCCAATGCTAGCAGAACAAGCGACTTCCGTTCCGTTCTGTTCTGTGTCTTGCTTGAATCGTCGAGCAAAGCGCCAACGCTGGTGGAGTCTGCGCTACTGTTCCCACCTTCGTCAAGCCTTCGGTGTTGTCGGCAATTTGCGAGACTTTTCGTCTGAAGTGTAGCTATTCGTCAATACGACTCGTGCCCAATTAAATGTCGTCGTTGTGCAGCGAACATCCTCGACTAATTATTTCTGCTTTCCATCTCACTCGTAACCAACTAACCTCTCAACTGTACTCCGAGCACGTAGAGCAGACAATATTTCTTCATCGTACGGCAGCCAGGACCTGGAGGTTGCGCCCACACTACCCACTGCACCCCGAGAACGGACGGGTGGGGCTGGAATACTGTACCAAGTTTCACATGCGGCACGACGCTGATTGATGGGGCAGTTTTTCAGGGTTATCCGATAAGCTCTAGAAGACGTGCATGAAATCGAGGTGATCCAGCCGTCCGTTTACTTGGATGGTGTCATCGTTACATGAGCCACAATGCGCCAATGTTGGTTTCCGCCAAGCTGTAGTACAAATGTTCTCGTTTATAGTCCGACGGATCCACATCGCCGCGCGCAGAAACCCCTTCAAACCCCAGGCAAAACGCGACACTTATAGTCCAGTTCAAGATAATTGCATGAAGAGTGGTTGTTTCGCTACTAGTTTCTGGATTTTGGCATTTACGTAGATTTGGACCGCGCTTGCTTCAACTTCCAGTCGCTTTGTTTTCCACGCTGATCAATGTCGCATGACGAAAGGTAAAAAAAAAAAAAACAAAATCAACTATAGTTTGGGGGTCGAATAGTGACCCAAAAACTTCCTTTTTACCCTGTAAGCGAGATAAATGAGATGTCATCGTCGATCGCGCTGGAGACAGCGCGACAGGATTGAGAAGTAGTCACGGTCAAGAGAAACAGTTACTCACAATTTATAAGCTAAAATATCGAACCGATGATCCCTTCTTCATCGCTCTCCTTGAATGTTGGGCTGGTTTGATCTGGAGCCTCTGATTGGCTGCGGAGCTGATTCGTACAATGATTCGGTCAAGCTGCAAATTTTTCCGCCAAAAAAGGGACTATTAGGGGTCAGGCCAACCCTAGACGATATCGGAAAATTCTACTCAGGGGGGAAAAGTGACTCTTTTAGCGAAGGCCTCTAACCCGGAACATTTGTACAAACGGCCAGCTGGTTGGTCCCCTAAAGAAGTCTGGGCAGGGCACAGCTGACAAGGAAATTGCTGCCCGTCCGTCAAAAGCCACGAACGTTGCGTTGTACGAAGGGTCCTGCGTGCTGCTGAATCTAGTCTTTCGCCGGCGAGTAACCAGCTGGCGATCGCAAGGATTTTCGTCAACGTCTGGAACCTACGTTTAGCTTGGGCTGGCGGGAAACGAGGAATTCTTGGGATTTATGAAGATCTGTCCGGAAAAAGCAGCAAAAACACACAACACCAACACACACCCAGCACATCATGAGTTCCCAGCATTAGATGGCGTCAGCTTGAAGCAGTTTTGTCCTTGATTCAAGCGTAGTCAGAGCTGCGCAGTAATATTGTTAGTGCATTGGGCCAGTATTAGTTTCTATTAGATTCTCCTAGCTCCGTTGGGCCACCTATGCGTTCGTCTGGTCCCATAGTCGCACTGATAGCGAGATTCCGCTTCTTTTTTAGATGTGTTCATTACTAATTCCCAGAAAGCCACGCCCAGAATTGTAGGCTATATGAATTTATGGATGTCGAGTATGTAATCGTTTTCGAGATTACGACACAGCTAGCAAAAAACGGAGCGTCGGGACTGTTGAGCTACGAAGTGTGGAATTTTCATATATATTAGTCCCTGCATGTAAATGTGGTTGTGCGTGAAGTTATGGCACCAATAGCGGGAAATGGAGCGTCGGGATCAGCGAGTCTTTACAAGGTGTGGGAGATCAGAGCGCTGAAGCGGCAGAAGCGGAGCGACGAGGCGAGAAGCCTGCTGGAGCGAGTGGCGAAGCAGGTTGAGCCGATTATGATCCGGCGCCGATGGAAGGTGCCGCTGCTGTCTGAATTCAGGTTCGAGCCTCAGTAGACGCGTTAAAAACAGGTTGGTTATTTACTCGTCTCAACAAGAGAAGCCTGTTGTAGCGAGTCGCTACGCAGGTGGAGCCGATTATGGTCCTCGTTCACACTCGCACCATGATTAGCTTTTGACTGTTCCCCCTCCCACAGTCCCAGCAATGCTCGGCTCCTGGGTCTCAACATCAACCGAGGCCGGGAGATTCGAATACGACTCAGACCCGCAGGCAAGCGTTGGGAACTATCGGGAGTTGTACCTGACATTTGTTCATGCTTATTGTCAACCTGCTAGTGATTCGACTCAGACGGTCAGGATAGCTAGATTCGCCCTTCCCTTACAAGCGTGAGCTGCGAACCACCGCGGACGAGCTCATTGCAAGTAGGGGTTGACCTTGACCGGCAGGCAATCAAACTATCCCATTCCTTCGAAGAAAGCATCGAGCACCTCCCTTCATAACTGCTGATTAGTTAGATCGTGTCAATTCACACACAATCTGCAAGCTCTCGTATGAGCTGACCAGCTGCAACTTTTGAGTTGCCCTTCCTTTTCTTTCTTTCTTTCTTTCATTCTTTTCCTGCAATCTTGATTCACTGAACAGGCAAGCCGGACTCATTCTTCCCATACGAGCATGTGTTGGGCACCATGCTTCACGAGCTCACTCACATCGAACGAGGCCCCCACGATGCCAAGTTCTACAAGCTACTAGACGAACTCAATGAGGTAAGTGCAGTAACGCGCTCGTCCTCTCCGTCTTCCACTTCAGGGTGGCAATGCCCCCTCGTCCCATCCACGCATGTGCTGCTTTGACCAAGTGACTTTTGAGTCTACTCAAAAGTCACTCCGTCTTCCACTTCAGTGTAGCAATGCCCCCTCGTCCCATCCAAGCATGTGCTATTTGGAGTTCCCACAAGCATAGGCTGGAGGCTGGACAAACCTTTTTCGTGCGTGTGTCTCTCATTGCCCAAACCCATATGAGCAGGAGTGTGATGATCTCATAGCACGAGGCATAACAGGAACGCCCTTTGGGGGATCTGGTCACCGCCTCGGCTCCTCTGCTTACCCCTCCATTCGCCCAGTCCGCTTAGGCACTGCTGCTGCTGCTGCTGCTGCCAGCGCTGCTGATTCTTCCTCTTTCAGGGTTGTTACCCCTGCTGGCCCTTCTTCTGCCCCGTCTGCTGCTGACGGGGCGAGCAGAAAAGCAGCGGCAGCAGCGGCGGAGCGGAGGCGGCAGCAGCAGCGGATCATGATGCCTGTGGGCGGGCGGCGATTGGGCGGCGACAGTGAGATTATGAAGGTGTTGAGTCCGGTGCAGGCAGCTGCTATGGCAGCAGAGAGAAGGATGAGGGACGATGTGTGGTGTGGTGGGCATGGGAGCGAGGGAGGGGAGGGAGGAGAGGGAGGGGATAGGGGTCAAGGCGGGGCGAGGGAAAAGGAAGAGGAGGAGTGGGAGAGTGCAAGGGAAGTGAGAGAGGGTAATGCGTCACAGCAGCGTGCAAACGATGTTAGACACGATGATAGAGTTGATGGTAGAGATGATGGTAGAGGAGGAATGGCAATGGGTGAAGGTCATGGTGGTGCTGTTGGTTCTGGGTTGGAGGGGGATGAAATAGGGGCAGGCAGAGGGAGGGTGAGGAGTGGAAGTGCGCAGAGTGACGCGTCCAGGCATCAGGACTGTGACTGTAACGGTGGTTGTGATTGTGTACAAGGTGCAAATGGCTTCAGAACGGGGGAGGCGAGCCAGGCTGGTGGGGCAAGGAAGCGGCCAAGTGTGACTGAGGAGCAGAGCAGTAGGAGCAGAAAGATGCCTGCAAGCAGTGCTGTAGCAAGTAAGAGAGCTGATGCGGCCAGAGAAAGATTCACAGATGGGTCTAGAGGGGGCGATGTGTCAGGAGGAGAGCAGCAGGCAGCGGGAGCAGGCAGGGCAGAGGGAGCAGAGGGTGTGGGGAGAGAAGACAACTGGACGTGCCGTGTTTGCACACTGATTAACCGGGTGAGTTAGGAGCTTTTAACATGTGTGTGTGGGGGGGAAAAGAGTGGGGGGAGAGGGGAGTGTGTGCGTGTGTGCATGTGCATGCGGGCATGCAGTTGAATCCATTCAGGCAGTCAATGACCATCACACACACAGTATGGTACCTGCCCTGTCGGTTCCAATATGAGGAAGCACTTGGTACAGTGCGCCTCAGCGTGAATCATGCCTTATGATTTTTCTTTTATTTATTTATTTCTTTTCTTTTTTTCCTGTAGGGCATTGTGCTACAGTGCGAGGCGTGCCTTGCAGTGCGACCGCATTCAGGCCCGGCCAGTTCTCGCGCAGCAGTGACCGCTGCTTCCACGCCCCCCACCACCGCTGCTGGTGCTGCTGCTGCTGGTACCAGTGCCGATGCAGCCATTGTAATCGAGGATTACCCTGCTGCTGCAATCACTGGCTGTGGCAGTGCTGCAGTCATTACTGACAGTGCTGCAGTCATTGCTGACAGTGCTGCTGCCCCGGGGGCCATGTGGACTTGTACGCTGTGCACGCTAGAGAATGCTGCTGCTGCAGATCGATGCCTGGCCTGTGACTCACTGAAAGTCGCTCAGACATGATGCCATATCAACTCATTGATGCCTCTCACGCATAATAATCTCAACACAAGTGCGGTAAACTCAACACATGTAATCTCAATGCATGTGCTCCTGTAGCTGTTGGTGGTAGTGCTGTGCTGCCATAAGGATAAGGTCCATATGGACGTGTGGACAGTGCACGCTAGGGAATGGTGGTGGTGGTGGTGGTGGTGGTGGTGGTGGTGGTGCTGCTGCTGCTGCTGCTGCTGCTGGTGCTGTGGACCACGCTGCCAGGTGACTTTTGAGTCGACTCAAAAGTCACCTCATGTAATCTCAACGCATGTGCTTCTGTTGCTGTTGGTGGAAGTGCTGTGCTGCCATGAGGATGAGGTCCATGAAGACGTGTGGGCAGTGCGCGCTAGAGAATGGTGCTGCTGCTGCTGCTGCTGCTGCTGTGGACCACACTGCCAGGCCAGTCACTCATGGAGATGCACGTGGTTCCGTGATACATACCGTACAACTGCACCAGAGTCAGTTCCGGTCACCCATTGAATTGACAGCATTCAATAGCCATGCCAGTGGTGAAGCCACACACATACGGTATGTTCGCAGATACCGTATGTTAGCAGTCCAGTGGACCACGTCGCGCTCCCTGGTCTGTGACTCGCAGGATTTCTTTCATTTTTTTTCATCAAGCAATGTGGCTTCACTGTGCCCGCTCAATTCACTCTTAGACACATGCACTTGCGCGACTGAGCATGGTTATTAGGAGTCCATACATACGGTACTGTACTGCAGAGCACAGCAACTGGTCTTAGACAGACTATAGCTGCAATCATTGCAAGAGCAATGAAGCAAGTGAATCTGCTGCAACAGCAGAAACCATGCGCAAGCCTTTCAGGTGCACTCTCCTATCTGAAAGCCACGTGATGACCCTCAGTTTGTCTCACCGCCTCTTGTACCTGCCAGAAGGAGAACAGAGCGCAAGGGAAAGACGAAAATGCATGCATGTCAAGTCAGAATGCTAAGGGAGGGCCAAACAATATGGGGTTAAAAGGACTAAACCCTAAACCCTGGAAAGTGGGGACCAAAGGGGCCCGCCACCGTCCTCTTGGAGACTTCTCAAACAGTCATGAGGTAACAGTCAAGAGGTAACAGCCAAGAGGATGACAGACAGACTCACCGCTTCTTGCTCTTGAAAGTCCCCCCAGCCTTCCCCCTCCCCTTCACTTCCCCCCCAGCCCCTCCCCCTCCTTTCCCCTTGGCCATATCCGTCTGAAACAGATCCTTCATCTCTCGGGACCGGGACGGCGTTTTCTGCTTCGGTTTCTTCCCAGCTGCCCGGCCGCCCGCCTTGGGCAGGCTGACAATCTTCCCAGCTGCCCGGAGCCGCTCTGCGGATTTGATTGCCTTGGCCTTGCGGTAAGCCAGATCGGCTCTTGTCTTTCCTCCAGCCTTGGGTTTGCCATCAGATGCTTCATCCAACCCGAACTCCTGTGCTTCTGCCTCCTCCTCTTGCGCCTGCCTCTCTGCCTCTAGCTTTCTGCGTTTCTTTCTTGGGAGGGATTTCTGGATGGGGGGAAAGAAAGAGAAAGGGTGAGGGAGGGGGAGGAGGGAGGGGGGCGGCCAAAGGTGAAAAGATCCGAATTTTTTTCAGCTTCATCCAGCCCGAAGGCTTTTGTGCCTGGGCTCTTGTCTTTCCTCCAGCCTTGGGTTTGCCATCAGATGCTTCATCCAACCCAAACTCCTGTGCCTCTGCCTCCTCCTCTTGAGCCTGCCTCTCTGCCTCTAGCTTTCTGCACTTCTTCCTAAGGAGCAATTTCTCGAAGGGGAGAAGAAATGATAAGTTAGAGGGAGGGGGAGGGGGAAGGGCGAGGGACGATGTGAGCAAGAGCAGGCAATTTCAATTCATCCAGCCCAAAGGCCTGGTGACTTTTGAGTCATCCAGGCCTGTGCATCCAGGCCTGTGCATCCAGGCCTGTGCATCCAGCAAGAGTCGACTCAAAAGTCATCCAGCCCAAAGGCCTGTGCTAAGGCCCCCTCCTCCTCTTGTTGTGCCTGCCTCTCTGCCTCTAGCTTTCTGCAGGGATTTCTGGAACAGGGAGAGGAAAAGGGCAAGGACAACGGAGAGGGAAGAGGGGATGGGAGGCAAGGGGGGGCGGAGAGTGAGACGAGAGGAGGAGGGTACAGGTTAGTTGGGAGTGCAGGTGCATCATCCGGCCCCAAGGCTTGTGCTTCTGCTTCCTCCCCTTGTGCCTGCCTCTTTGCCGCCAGCTTCCGCCTCCCACCCCTAATGTTTGTTTCACCTCCCACCCCTAGTGTTTGTTTCACCTCCCACATCTCAGCAACACATTGCTCACCTCTCGCTGCTTCTTCAGCTTCTCCTTCCTCCTCTTCTCCTGCACCTCCTCCAGTGAAAGCACCTTCCCTCCTCCCTTCCCTCCCCCTTTCCCACTGCCGCCCTCCCCGCCCTCTGCCTCAGCGTCAGCCACAGCCTTAGCCGCCTCTGCCACTGCCTCCTTCTCCCTCTTGCTCTGGAACCACGTGCGCTTGGGCTTGGCGAATATCTCATCGCGATGAGTCAGCATGTTCTCAGCCTGACGTGGCAGCAGGGAGGGGTTGAGCGGAAAGGGAGATGAGAAGCAAGGAGAGCAGCTGGAGTCATGTCCTCAAAGTTCTGAAAGAAAAAAAGGCGCTTCAAAGTTAAAACTAGCAAGAAGAACAGTGTGTGTCAAACCCTTCGGTTTGACAAGTCGCAAAACTAGACACAGCAGCTTCAACTCCCCGGGTCAACCCACCTACCCCGGCCGACCCGCCAGCCTGCCCACCCACCCACCTGCCCGCCCGCCCACCCACCCACCTTGACTGCTTCCATCTCTGCCTTTCGCAGCACCCGTTCCTCCCTCTCCTGCTTCATAACAGCCGCTACATCCCTCTCCATGCCCTCCACTCGCTGCCTCCACCGCTCCACAGCCGCTTGGGCTATCTGCCGCTGCTTCAGCTTCCTGCCTGCTCGCTTTGTCTGCAGGGAGAGAGAGTGGGAGGGAGAGGAAGGGAGGGAGGGGAAGGAAGAGAAAGTGGGACTGCAGGCTGAGATGGGGAACATCACAGAATGCCATCCCACGTCCCTCTCCATGCCCTCCACTCACTGCCTCCACCGCTCCACCGCCGCTTGCGCTATCTGCCGCTGCCTCAGCTTCCTTCCTGCCCGCCTCGTCTGGTGTGACGTGCATGGGGGAAAACGGTGCAGGGTGTGGAAGAAGGATAGATGGGATGGGACACCACATCAGTCAATGCCATCCCACATCCCTCTCCATGCCCTCCACTTGCTGCCTCCACCGCTCCACAGCCACTTGCGCTATCTGTCGCTGCTTCAGCTTCCTGCCTGCTCGCCTCGTCTGTGGTAAGAGAGAGTGGAACGGGGGTGCAGAGAGAACGAGGCGTACCAGGTGTTAGGACATAAGGCTCTCACTTAGTGACTTTTGAGTCGACTCAAAAGTCACGAGGCGCACCAGGCGTTAGGACATAAGGCTCTCACTTCACATCACCTCACATCACATCACATCACATCACATCACATCACATCACATCACATCACATCACATCACATCACATCACATCACATCACATCATCACATCACATCACATCATGCTGACATACCTTGTACAAACACTCTTCTCCCTTCCACCTCGCCTCCTCATCTCATCCCTTCTTCCCCGCCATTTCCTTGCTCTCACCATCGCTTTCAGCAGCCTTCGGTCCTTCTCCCCCACGAAGGTCACTGACGATCCGCCCTTCCCTGCCCTCCCTTTCCCTCCTTCACCTTCTCTTCCAGCCTTGCACAATGCACTCTCCTTCCCCTCCCCCACTACTCACCATCGCTTTCAGCAGCCTTCGGTCCTTCTCCCCCACGAAGGTCACTGACGATCCCAGCTTGCCTGCCCGTGCTGTCCGCCCCACTCGGTGCACGTAGCTGGGGAGCACAGGGGAGGAGACGGGAAGGCGGGGGAGGAGGGGTTGGAGAAGGCAGGAGGGGATGAGTATGTTAGGGGAAGGGTGTGTAAGCCCTAGCTTCCCTGCCCTGCCCATGCTGTCCTCCCCACTCGGTGCACGTAGCCGGGGAAAGGGGAGATGGGTGGGGGCGTTTGGAGGAGAATAGAGAAAGGATGGGGATGATATGGGATGGGAGGTAGCAGACACGAGGAATGAAAAACGACAGGGGAATGCATATAAGTAACAGAGATGAAGGTATAGTGTGCGATCTGCTGACCACTGCAATTTTGAAACCACTCACTTGGTGATTTCACGGGGTGTGTGGTAGTTGATGACTGTTTGCACTCCAGCAATGTCCAAACCCTGAATGGAGTCCGGGGGAGGAGAGGTTGGGAAATGCGGGGAATGAAAAGGACAATGGAAAAGATGGGATTATTAATGAGATGTCTCAAAACGAATACTTAAGGACACTTAACCGGTCACAAAAACGACTAGCAAAAGACAAAGAAGTAGCAAAAACGAGAGAAAAAAAAGGCCTTATAAAACGCAATCGTTGCACACGCACCCTGGCAGCGACATCAGTGGCAATAAGGAAGTCCACATCGTGCGTCCGAAATCGTTCCAAGGCCTGGACGCAAGGGGGTGCAGCAAAGCAAGGACAGCAGGGAAACAAGGAAACGTGCACACAGAAACGTGCAGTGAGATTCTAATGGGTAGTGGCGTGTGCAGGCTGGCAGCGACATCAGTGGCAATAAGGAAGTCCACATCGTGCGTCCGAAATCGTTCCAACGCCTGAGTGGAGAAAGGAGGCAAAGAGGCACGAGCGGGGAAAGGAGGCAGGAACGATTTTTTAGGCGCCTCAAAAGCGGCAACATCAGTGGCGAGGCGATGAGAAAGTCCACATCGTGCACAGTGGACTAGATGCACTTCTGTGCACATCGTGCATGCAGAACCGCTTCAAGAATGAAGCAAGCACGCGTGCATGCCCAATCCTTAAGGTGCATGTCGACATCGTGCATGCAGAACCGCATGCAAGGCCTGAGTGGGGGGAAGCAAGTAGGCAGGAAACGCGCACACAGATAAACGTGAGATTCGGTTCTGATTGCTAGCAGCGTGTGTAGGCTGGCAGCAACATCAGTGGCGATGGGAAAGTCCACATCGTGCATGCAGAACCGCATGCAAGGATTGTGCATGCAAGGATTGGGCATGCACACGGGGCAAGCAAGCAGGAAACGCGCAGACAGACGTGTGAGGTGAGGTTCTCATGGGTAGTGGCTTGCAGGCTGGCTGCAACGTCAAAAGAAACCACGTCAGCAGTAGTGAGGTCACATCCAGGCCATGCGACGTGTGATTAGTAACCTCACTCACATCCAGTCTCATGGCTTGAGTGAGGTTCCTGTGTAGTTCCGCTACCCGCCATCCCAGCACTAGCACCACATGCAGTCACATCCCCCTTGCTCACTCACATCCAGTCGCATGGCCTGGGTAAGGTTCCCGTGTAGTTCCGCCGCCCGCCATCCGAGCAGACCGAATATAATCTTCAGCCGATGCGCCTCTACCTTGCGGCCGCTGCAAACAAACAAAAACGGCCACAGGAGGGAGAAACGGGTGCCACGTCAGCATATGATAGGGGTGTGCTCAGCCACCAATGAACAGTGTGCAGCAGAACATGCTGAGCCACAGGAACCACGTCAGCACCAGCACATGACACGTCAGAACCATTTCACGTGTCAGCACACCAGCTGCACAAACGAATCTGAAGATGATCATTTCTCCTCCCTCTTGCAATTTACTCCTCTTCTCCCCTACCCCTAAATCCGAGGTGCCATTTCAGTCAACAGAAGGCTCACCTGAAGACGATCACTCCACCACTCCCCTGTGCTTTACTCCGCTTCTCTCCCTTCCCCCCACCTCACCATCCTGAAACCAAGGTGTCTGTTGAAATAATTTCAAAGCTCACCTGAAGACGATCACTCCACCTCCCCCCTGTGCTTTACTCCGCTTCTCCCCTCTTCCTGAATCTCCTGCCTCTCTTCCTTCCGAACCACCATCCGTCCCTCCTTCCGAGCCTGCGCCTGCGGTTTGGGCGAGCCTGGAGCACACAGCGAGCAGCATGGCCTCTCGGTCGGGCTCTTGAGACGATCGCACCCGAACCACTCTGGGGAGGAGGAGGAGAGAGTGGGGGAGGAGGGAGTGAAGTGAAGGAAGAGGACGAAGGCATGGCAAGGGGGGAAGCAGAGAAGTTAAGTCCTGAGGCGCCTCAATACAAGACATGAGATGTGTAGTAGCATATACATCATGTGTTTTGAGAAGTCTCAACGTTCAAAACAAGACATGAGACTTGGTTGGAGCGGACACAGCACGAGGGCACACGGGCGGGCACATCCCTTCTTCCTCTTTCCCCCTCCCGTTCCAGCCATCCCTTCCCCCTTCATTGACTCCTCTTCCAGGGTGCGGGGGCGCTGCAGGGAGCAACAGCAGACAGCCGTACAGGCAGGTAGGGCACCCACCGTACAGCTACTCAGTCATTCACAGTGCAAACTTCACTCCCTCCCCCTTCACTCACTCCTCTTCCAGTGTGCGGGGTCGCTGCATGGAAGCATCAGCAGACAGCCGCACGGGCAGGTTGAGGGACAGGCTGGCAAGCTGCTGCACCTCCCCACTCATGGTGGCCGAGAAAAGGAGAGTCTGGCGGCGCTTGGGACACACTCGCACCTGCGTGAGAGAGGCAAAGAGCACCGAGGGGAAGAGGAGAGGGAGAGGGGGAAAGGGGGGAGGGGATTTTCGAATGACAGGTTGAGGGACAGGCTGGCCAGCTGCTGCACCTCCCCACTCATGGTGGCCGAGAAGAGCAGGGTTTGGCGGCGCTTTGGGCAGACTCTCACCTGCGAGGGGGGAGGAGGAGACTTTTGAGTCGACTCAAAAGTCGACTCTGACCTGCGAGGGGGGAGGAGGAGAGGGAAGGCAAGGGGGTGTGGGTGGGGGAGGGGGGCTTGTGTGATTGGCAGGTTGAGAGACAGGCTCGCAAGCTGCTGCACCTCCCCACACATGGTGGCCGAGAAGAGGAGTGTTTGACAGCGCTTGGGACAAACTCGCACCTATGATAGAGACTGGGAGGGGAGGGGCGAGGAGGGGAGCGGAGGTGACGGGAGGGGAGGGGAGGGGAGGGGAGGGGAGGGGAGGGGAGGGGAGGGGAGGGGAGGGGAGGGGAGGGGAGGAACACATGGACTCAATAAATTGGAAAAGACTGGTTTGCTGCAGCATTTCTGCACTCATGGCTCAAAATAGACCAAGATTAGTGCACAAACTATTTCTGGGAGCACTTACTAATTTAGGCAGCACTTACTATTTTAGGCAGCACTTACTATTTCCATCACCTCCTCCTGGAACCCCAGCTGCAGCAGCCTGTCTGCCTCATCCAGCACCAGAATGGCCAGGTCGTTCAAGTCAACGCTCTGGCTGTTGTGTAGATGATCCACCAGCCTGGAGGGGGGACGAGAAAGAGATTGGTGGGAGCAGGAAGGCCCAACAGGAGTAAGAACTTGAGAGCACGAAAGCAAGGCAAGGTTGTTGAGGTCCAGACTCTTCCTCTGGTTGTTGTGCAGAATCTGCAAAATGCGAGACTAGTTTTGAGGCACTTGTAGAAAATGGAGGCGCTTCAAGAGTCGTTGAGGTCTAGACTCTTCTCTGGCTGTTGCGCAGAATCTGCAGATGGTCCACTCCACAAACAACCCACGGGGCTGGGGCAACGACGACATTGGGGCGAGAGCACAGAGCCAGCCACTTCCCGGTTCTCAACATCCCCATCACAGAGGACATGCAACTTGTCACAGAGGACATGCAACCCGTCACAGGCCCCCATTTGGCCCCCATCACATCTCAATCCGCCCCAGATAAACACATGTCCCCCTCCTCCTTCCTCGCTCGCCTCTCCTTCACCTGACGACGATGTTGGGGGGCAAAAGCACAGAGCCACCTCCTGGTACTTCATAGACCGCCCACTGCCTTACCCTTGATCATATCCCACACCATCCCACCTTCCAGGAGTCGTGACCACGATGTCAGGCCTTGACCGCAGAGCCACCTCCTGGTTCTTTATGGACAGACCCCCCACCACGAGCCCACAGCGAGTAAGCCTTGAGACACCTAAAGAGTACGCTTCCCAGCTCCCCACCAGGTTCCCACCTGCCTGGAGTCGCGACCACGATGTCAGGCCTTGACCGCAGAGCCACCTCCTGGTTCTTTATAGATAGCCCCCCCACCACGAGCCCACAGCGGATGTCAGTGAATTGCGCTAGCTTCTCCACCATGCTGTGCACTCTGTGTGGGGGGAAGTAAGTGAGGGGGAAGGAGGATGGAAGAGGGGAAAATGGAGAGGAAAATGGAGAGGAAAACGGAGAGGAAAATGGAGAGGAAAATGGAGAGGAAAATGGAGAGGAAAATGGAGAGGAAAATGGTGGCACCGTGGCGGCGGTCAGACACTTCAGTACCGACAGAACCTCCCACCACGAGGCTGCAGCGGCTGTCTGTGTACTGCGCTAGCTCTAGCAAAGGAATCTACGCGCTCGTGTAGCCTCCACCCGTTAAGGGCGAGGCGAGGCGAAGCACATGTCATCGTTCCATCCAAGCCCATCCATGTTGCTCGGGTAGATATACGACAAAGCGAGCGAACACAGCACATGGATGGGCTTGGATGGATATACGACAAAGCAAGTGAACACAGCACTCACTGCACAGCCAGCTCTCTGGTTGGGGTGAGCACGAGCACGCGTGTAGCTGCCACGCGCTTGGGGCGAAATAGCAGACGCTCCAAGATGGGCAGAGCAAAGGCTGCGGTCTGTTTGGGCAGGGAGGGGAAGAGGGAGGGAGGAAGAGTGCTACCATTAGGTGCCTCACGAGTGGCCGCCACCCGCTTTGGGTGGAGCAGCATGAGCAACACGAGAGGGCAACACCCACCTTGCCAGACACAGTGATTGCACTGCCGCATATATCCCTCCCAGCCATGGCAAGCGGCACACATGCAGCCTGGATGGGCGTGGGCTTGTCATACCCCAGCGCAGCACACGCACGCAGCAGCGACGCAATACAGGCACAACACGAGAGCAACACCCCCCAACACACCCACCTTTCCAGACCCAGTGATGGCGCTGCCACAGATGTCTCTCCCAGCCATGGCGAGCGGCACGCACGCGGCTTGAATGGGCGTGGGCTTGTCGTAACCCAGAGCAGCACACGCACGCAGCAACGGCCGCGACAGCTGCAGTTCTGAGAAGGACGACGCAGAGAACCGCGCCCCTGCCTCCTCCGCCCCCTCGAAATACACCCCCCCGCCTCCCCCTCCGCCCCCCCCTTCCCTGCCTTCACCCTTTCCTGCTCCTTCCTTCTCTCGCCTGGCTTTTGCCTTGGGTGCCTTTTCGATTTCTTTTATTTTGGGCTGCTGAAAAGAGCGGGGGGGAGGAAGGAGGGTGGGTGGGGGGGGGGGGTTGAGAAAGGAGGGGAGGGGGGAGGGGTTGAGCAAGAAAAGTTCAGAACGGCTCTGGAGGTTTTGGTCTCAACTACTCAGCCCACCTGGCTTTTGAACGGTTTGGCTCCTCCGTTGAAAGCTTCGTTTCATCAAAGGGTGATGCTTTCGTTAAGCCACACCATAGAGCTTGTAACTCAGAAATCCTTCCCACATCCCGAACCTGTGATAAAACCTGACCCCGAAACCTTGGACGTTGTGCGAGATGCGCGTGGCTTACCTCACTCTCGCCGCGTTCCTTCCCTTCCCATCTCTTCTAACCACGCTACCCACCTGTTGAACCCCTCTCAACCCCTTCTCGTTTATTCATACCTCCTTTTTAGTCTTCTTGTGACTCGCCTCTTCCTCTTCCTCATTTTCCTCCTCTTCCTCTTCTTCTTCCGCTTCGTCTTCCTCTTCCTCCTCATCTTCCTCCTCCTCATCCTCTTCTTCCTCTTCCTCTCCTTCCTCCTCTTCCATCTCCTCTTCGTCTTCCTCGTCCTCTTCCTGCTCCTCCCCCGCTTCGTCTACCTCTTCCTCTGCCTCTTCCTCCTCCTCTTCCTCTTCCTCCTCCACATCCTCCTCCTCATCCTCCTCCTCATCCTCCTCCTCTTCCTCCTCCTCTTCATCCTCCTCCTCCTCGTCCTCCTCTTCTCTCCCTCTCTTCGTGCTCCCAAGCCCCATCGCTCTCCGCCGTCGGATCATCTCAATCTTGGTATCAACGGACGTCGTTTTTCGCTCCTTAAACTCCTCCGCAAGAGTCTTCCCCGCGCCCTTGAAATCCCACGCCGCCACCTCCCCTCCATCCTCATTATCGTCATCCGCGTCAAAACGAAACAGCGGATCCATTCGCCCCATGGCTTTCTACAGGGACAACCAGATACCGAATTCGATAATAATACCGCTTTTTACGGTCAATCCTAGTGCGCGGATACTAACTCGAAGCTACGAGCGTGCGAACATTCCGCAACTGGGTATCGTCTACGAGATTCTAGCCATTCCAATATTTTGGAGCAATCGCGTCAGAGTCAAGCGCGCGAACGCCGTGAAAGAGAAAGTCCTCGCGGACCGCGGAGGATTCTAGGGTTCCTGTCGAGGTTTCATGTGAGTCGAGTTTCAAGGTTTAATCCAGAGGGGAACAAAAGTGGCTTGTTGTTTCCATATTCTGATTCGATATGCGTCAGCGTAGAATGCAATAAATTACATGTTTCCTACTAAGTAGCAAAGATTCTGCATCACATATCGAACCCAATACTGAGCTAGCAGATGTTACATGCATTCATGTTGATCTGCATACTAGAATCGCATCAAGGCACAAGCATCCCAACAACAAACCCCTATTGTTATCGCAACAAGCCGCTTCTCATGCCGGAAACATTCCAAGACAAATTCATTTCATGTCAATCCCAAGGTTTTGGATTCCTGACAACCCTGCCTCTTTCACAGAAAAACGAATCCTAGAAAATACTTGGCCAGCTCAGCTTCCAGTTCCTCCAACTCCTCTGGAGCCGCCAGCTCAGCATACCCCCGGCCAATGGTATTATCCCATCCCTAGTTTGTCGCACAAGTCACGTCACTCATGACTCAAGAGATTGATGTCTTTGCCAGCTCAGCTTCCAGCTCCTCCAGCTCCTCCGGTGCCAGCTCATCATCATCCTCAGCCAATAGCATCTCATCTTCCTCCGTGAGAGCAAGCCCTCCTGCTGCTCCAGATGAGCTAGGCCCAGCACCTCCCCCACCGCTGCTGGATTCCCCTGGAGTGGCAACAGGGGGAGCTGCGGCCCCTTCCTCCTCCTCCACTCGCTCATATGCGTCGCATGCGGCGTCGTCGTCGACAAAGAGCGAGGCATCGGACAGAAACAGCTCGCGACCACTGCACAAGGGAGGAAAGGAAGGGAGAGACAGGGGACGAATGAGAGGTTCTGACGCCTGCACAAGCAGCAGGGGGAGCTGCAGCCTCCTCCACTCTCTCGTAGGCATCGCATGCGGCATCGTCGTCCACGAAGAGGGAGGCATCGGACAGAAACTGCTCGCGACCACTGCAGAAGGGAGGGAAGGAAGGGAGAGACACAGGGAAGAGAAGACAGGAAATTCAGGGCCTTCTTGGCTGCCCGCTCAGCGCCTCACCCCATACTGCTCTGCGGGTCACCACACCATGCGCCTCACCCCACAGCACCCTCTACCCAGCTCACCTCATTCTGTCCTCCTTGGCGCGTGCGGCCTTCTTGGCTGCCTGCTCAGCGTCCTTCACCTCCTGCTTCTTCCGCTTCCACTCCATGAAGATCTCGGTCGTCAGCTGCGTGTGGCTTGCTGTCATCTTGCGCTGCAAACGGGGGAGAGGGAGGGAGAGAGAAGGAAGATGTGACGAGGGGTCTAGTTTGCACACGGTCTGCTTCTTGCGCTTCCACTCCATGAAGGTCTCTTTCGTCAGCTGTGTGTGACTCGCTGTCATCTTGCGCTGCACAGGCGAGATGGAGGAGGGAGAGAGGAGCGTAAATATTCAAAGAGAGCGGGAGGATGTGAAGAGGGGTTGAGTTTGAAACGATCTGCTTCTTCTGCTTCCGCTTCCACTCCATAAAGATCTCGGTCGTCAGCAGCGTGTGACTCGCTGTCATCTTGCGCTGAGGGGAAAAAAAAAAGGGTATAGGGGAGAGAGGAGAAATAAGCAGAAGGGCGGCTGACGGAAAAAATAAAATGACAGCCTGCGTCTGCTGATTCCGCTGCTCAGTGGTGAGCTGCATGTGGCTCCAGAGGTGACTTTTGAGTCACTTTGGAGAATTCTCAGCCGACTCAAAAGTCAACACAGCCTGCGTCTGCCACTTCCACTGCTCAGTGGTGAGCTGCATGTGGCTCCAGAGGAAGGGTGGTCATCTTCCCCTGCCAGGAGGGAAAGGGAGGCAGCTTCCATTCCATCTGCACATTGAGCATTCAGCCACTTTGCGAGGCAACGCCCCTCGCCCTCTCTATGCCTCAACTCCCCTTGCCTTCATGTCCCACCTCTAGCCTCTTTCTTGTCTCCCTCTCACCTCCAGAAGAGCTTTCATCTGCGACTTGAGCACATAGCCTCGCCTTGCCCAGCCTACCCTCACCACTCTGCACCTCTCTTATGCCCTCACCTCGTTTTCAATCATCTCCTCAACGGTCAGCTTGTTCGCCTGCTCCTCCTCCAGAAGAGCCTTCATCTGTGACTTGAGCACGTAGCCGGGCGGCAGCGCGTGGCGGTACATGCAGTCCTTGCCCCCGTTGGGGCACACCCAGAACCACCCGTACTGCTTCTTCTCCACAGCCTCTAGGAAGTGCTTGCACACCTGCACGGGAGGAGCAAGGATCAGAGAGATGAGGGAGTGAGCGCGTGGCGGTACATGCAGTCCTTGCCACCGTTCGGGCAAACCCAAAACCACCCATACTGCTTCTTCTCCTCAGCTTCCAAGAAATGCTTGCACACCTGCATGGGAGGAGAGGGGGGATCGGAGGAATGAGAGGAGAGAGGGGGGGAGAGGGGGGGAAGCAGGGGGGTGTAGGTGGGAGGGGAGAGACAATGGGGAGAATGCAGAGAATATGGAGGGGTGAGGATGAGGGAGTGAGCACGTGGCGGTACATGCAGTCCTTGCCCCCGTTGGGGCACACCCAGAACCACCCGTACTGCTTCTTCTCCACAGCCTCCAAGAAATGCTTGCACACCTGCAGGGGGTGTGAAAAGGGGGATAAAGAACGGGGTGAGATAGCCGGGGGATGGGGATGGGGGGAGAAGAGAGCACGGGAATGGGCGGGATGCGGGGAATGCAGGGAAGAGGAGGAGGGAGGGGATGCAAGGAATGCTGGGTGGAGGGATTGGCGTTTTCGTACTTCACGCCCTTGGCCGCCACCACCTGCTCCAGCTTCTCATCTCTCCCTGCCTTCCTACCACTCTCTACCGCTTCATACCCATCTCTCTCCATCTCTACCACTCTCCACCACTCCCAGCTGACGTACAATCTCGGTGGGCTTGTTGGCGTTCTTGTACTCCGCGCCCTTAGACGCCACCACCTGCTCGAGCTTCGCCTGGTCCCAGTCCTCCATCTTGTCTGCTCACACGCGGGGGAGGGGGAGAGGCGCGCGCAGGAACAGGGGTACAAAGATGCATGAGCAAAGAGAAACAGGGGGATCTCTTAGACGCCACCACCTGCTCCAGCTTCACATGATCCCAGTCCTCCATCCTGTCTGCTCGCACGCTCACACAGGCAGCGGCGTGCAGAGGCACAGGGGCACACGGGCACAGAGATGTGCATGAGCCAAGAGAGACAGAGAAAGCTCTTAAACGCCACCACCTGCCACAGCTTCGCCTGGTCACACTCTCTTTCTCTCTTCCCCACACTCCCCCCCAACCCCCCACCGCCTCCCCTCTCGTCCCCCAACCCAGCTTCCCCCTTACCTTCCTCATCCCGCTGGTCGCTGTACAGGTCGATCTTCTCGCCCTTGCGCTCCACGCTCAGATCGTGCGAGAACTTGCACTTAAAGCCCTTGCTGCACTGCCCGTGGCGGAAGAACTCGCAGACAATGGACTTGGGGTCCACGCCTGGCGGGACCTTGGGCTGCGTGATGGCCACTCTGAACAGCTCGTTCAGCTCCTTCTCCCGCTTCGCCTCCTCCTCCTTCTTCTTCTGCACTCCCGATACAAGCACAGGGACACGGTCGTTTCATACAAGAACATCACCAGAGTCAACCCATACAAGCTCATCAACAAAACCAACCCATACAAGCACATCAACACAGGCAACCAATACAAGCACATCAACACAGGCAACCCATACAAGCACATCAAAACAGTTAACCCACATGACCACATAAATAAAGGCAACCCATTCACGTGCATTAGCCCAATCCATTCTAAACCGGTGTATCCTCATAGCTGTGGAGACTTGTCAAGCTAATACACGCGATACAAAACGTAGCAAGGCCATATTGAAATCACTTTTTGAGAATTCTCAAAAGTGATATCAACAAGTAACTGGAGATAGCATCGTAGTGATGGCATCAACAAGCAGCCACTTCCCGATTAACCTATCGAATCTCCAGTCGTCGCGAATACGAGTCGGGTTACCAACCAATAAGGTTCACGAAATTACCTTTCTGGCGACGGTTGGATCTTCGGCGGCCTGTTTTCTGGCGGTCGCCTGAACGGACTGCTGCATGTTCTGCACATACTTCTGAACCTTGTTGCTCTTATTCTTGTTCTTCAGCCCGAACGTCTTATCCTCCACGATCTTCTGCTTCCTCGCGAGATCCGCTTTAGACACCTTCGCGTCCTTTTTCGGCGGCATTTTAGCTGACTACACTCGGTCCCCCGCTCTAGTAATATCTAAGAACGACTATTTGAGAACTGGTACTCGGGCCCTTGCACTCGGTCCCCTGCTGCTTTTGTGTAACGACGAGGCGCTTTGGTCTGTCTGGGAATCAGTACCGCTAACTACACTCGGTCTTGACGAATGCCGTGAAACTAGCAAGCCGTCAAATTGTGAAGTCGTCAAGCCGCCTAACTAACCGGCACAAGCAATGGCCGACAGTAGACGGCGAATAAGGAGATAGATTCGACAAAATAATTGTAGCAGAGATTTGTCATGGGACGTTATCGCGAGTTATTGAATAACTTCTTGCCCTAAGGTCCGAGGAACTAGGAATTCGACCATAACACCCACCGGCGACCACCACGTAATAAGAAATACTTTCTAGAAGCGCTTAATATACGCGAGCGAGGGTCTTGCACCGAAACGTGAGATCAGGGCAAAGAAAACTAAACTCGTGCGGAATTCCAGACTAATTATTACTAATTAGGTTCTGCTATTTCCTTGAGTAAATCCCTAGGTCTCAGTATTCAGGAACCCTGAATCCCCGCACGACTGGGGGTGGGAGGGGAAGGGGGGGGGGGGGGGGGGCTCGGGGAAAAGGCAGAGCGTAGGGGGAGGGTGAGCTGCAGAAGGCGGAAAACGAGGCGGGGGATTGGAGGATGAGTGCGGGTGCTGCGGAAAACATTTGCGCGGCTCAATGGAACATCTGACACGCGGACAATCTGGAGGTGGAGGGTGTGCGCGAGGAATGGTGGTCTGTGGGACAAGCGCAATGGACCCCATATCGAAGCTTCCAAAGTTCCGTGATGATATCGAGTTGTTCGATTAGAGATGAGTGCTTCAGAAGACTCTATAAATAGGAAGACGACATAAATAGCTCAAACTGCTATATCCTACCTTGAGCTCTTGCCACACGTCACATAACCAGTGGCTTATACAAACTTACAATTCAAATAGGTAGAGCATCCAGCTTCACATAGCGGCTACAACATGGCAGAGGGCAGCTGCTAATTGCCGTAGGCTAACCGGCTTTAAAAGAACCTCATCCATTCCCACTGTCCCACATGCTGCCACAAGAACCTCGTCCGTTCTTGCCGTTATGCCGACAATAAATGGTCGATTGTCAGGACTGCTTAGTTTAGTGGGGAAGGCAACGAGACAATCATAAGGGTGTTGGGAATCAGGACGAAATAAGACCACTTAATGTACCGTATACAAACATGGACTGTTTCTAGACGATGGGAAATACACGGCCAACGCCTATGCATGATGGTCTTTTTCTGCTGGAAAAGAATCACCAGCAGGTATGTGTCTGCAGCGCCGAAGTGTGTTTTGGGTCGTCCCAAAACACAACTGCTGCTAGAGAGAATTTCCAGGCAGGCATGTATCATGTAATACGTCTTTGGGGCGCATAAGAAATTACTCAGGGGAACATGCTGTGTATGCAGCGGGCTGCTTCCAGCCCATCGACATCCGGCATGCAGATACCTAGAAGGATAATGCCTGCAACAGGGGAGGCTGACGGGCTCTTCCTCTCTGCTGCCCGGGAGAATTCCCAGGCAGGTATGCTTGTTTGTACGGCCCCGAAGCGCCCAAGGAATGACTCACCGGAACATCTTGTGTATGCAGCGGGCTGCTTCAAGCCCATCGACATCGGGCATGCAGATATCCAGAAGAACAATGTCTGCAATGGGGGAGGCTGACGGGCTCTTCCTGCTGCCCGAGAGAATTGACAGGCACTCCTGTGTGCTGGCGGCTAGGGTGACGTGGCAGTGCAGCGACAGGAGCAGCTGATGTGTCGCGATGCGATTGGCCACGTTGTCTTCCACAAGCTGGTTGACGGGCAGGAGAAAGGGGAAAGGGATGGGGGAAGTGGGGGAGCATGTGGGGGAAAGGGTGCGGGGAAGAGGGATTCAGGCAGACAACCACGAAGGGCATCCAACACAGGACTCACTCACTCACTCACTCACCAGCAGACGAATGCCGTTAAGCTCTTGAATATACGCCCCAAGCGAGCATGAGGTCTGATTTACCTAAGTAGCACTTGCATCTCTCACCAGTGAACCCCGGCTACTGAAACGACTTCTGAGGCGCCTCAAAAGACCTCTCACCAATGAACCCCAGCTACTGAACATACCCCCTAATCACAAAGTCGAGTATCCTTGATCCTCACTCACAAGCACACGAATCCCCTCCACCTCTTCAATATGTGTCCCAATCGAGTGTATAACGCTTGAGCCACCTAAGAAATCACTTGCATCACTCACCAGAACTTTGAGACGTCTCAAAACAGAGTCACTTGCATCACTCACCAGCACACGAATCCCCTCCAGCTCTTGAATATACGCCCCAATCGAGCACGACGACTCATCACTATCACTCTCCACCTCCCCCTCCCCATGCCCCTCCCCATCCTCCTCACTCCCAGACCCCTCATCCCCCGATCCTTCCAAACTATTCATCATATGCCTCCTCCTCCTGTGCCTTCTCCTCGTGCGGTCACACAGTAACCGCACGGAAAACGCAGTAGCAGCGCCGGGATCAGCAGGCTGGGTGGCGTTCCAGTAATGCCCGTCCATGAGCAGGAGTAGCTTCTGACAGATGGCGCAGGAGGGAGCGACGAACTGCTCGCTTATCCTCGCCAGCCGCTCCCTCTCCGCCTCTGCTGCCTCCGCCTCCCTCAAATCCTCTGCTGCCGATCTTTGAGGTGCTTCAATAGCTGCTAATGCAGCAGAAACTTCCACAGCTGCTGCAGCTGAAGCGTCGCCTGGGTCAGACTGGGGGAGGTGGGACTGTGCCGAGGGAACAGTATCCCTAGACGTGGTGTCTCTGAGACGGCTTGTTGTGTCGGGCAGAGGACGAGTGAGAGGGTGGGAAACCATGGGGTGGGATGCCAGGGGGTGGGAAGCCAGAGGGTCGGGCGAAAGAGGGTGGGGCATCTGTGCAGGAGGCTGGGTGTGTGAGGCTCGGCTGTAGGAGCTCTCGTTGCTGGACGTCCGACTGACCCTGTGGTCTGGATCATGTGCATGTGTATGCGCAGGAGCATGCGGATGTGTATGTTCATGTTCACGTGCATGTTGTGCACGTGCATGTTGTGCATTTGCATGTTGTGCATGTGCATGTGCATGTGCAAGTGCCTGCACACCCTGCGATTCCATTCCCCCTTGCGACCCCAACCTCCCCTGTGACTCCATCCCTCCCTGCAAACGTGTGCACCCCACCCAACCCTCCTCCGGCCCAGATAGAAACAGCCCTATGCCCACGTTTGATGGATCCTGCCCCAGTGCCTTCATCCCCTCTATAGCCTGCCCCTTTAGCAGCTGCTCCCGCTCCCTTGCTTCCTCAAAGCGGTGGAGTAGGGCCTGCTTGGACTCCTCCCCTCCTGAGTCTGTGACTGTGATTCGCACTCGTACATGGTCCTGACGGGAGATCTGGGAGCATAGGGTGGGGAAGGAGAAGGGTGGAGTGGAAGGGAAGGGAGCAACGGAGCATGAGGGGAATAAAGTGCGGTGCGGGTTAAACGTTGCCTGCTTGGACTCCTCCCCTCCTGAGTCTGTGACTGTGATTCGCACTCGTACATGGTCCTGATGTGAGATCTGTTAGGAGTGGGGAGGGGAGAAGGGGAGAGGAGGGGATAGAGGAGGTCAGGGAAGTGGGGAAGAGAGAGGGAGGAGCGGGGTGGAAAGGATGTGAGAGCATGCCTGGACTCCTACCCTCCTGCGTCTGTGACTGTGACTGTCTCAAAAACACGATCGGCAGCAAAGAATTAGCGTCTCCAAAACACGAGCACCCTCACGTAGTCCTGGCGGGGGATCTGGGAGAGATCGGAAGAGGGGATTGTGACGGATGGAATCTTCCAAAGCTAATTCTTTGCCTTTTTCCGAGAGTTCTCAAAGGCGATCGTGATTTTGAGAACTCTCAAAGGCGATCTCGTTTTTGAGACATGCATCGAACGTGCACATGGATCGAACGTGCACATGGATCGAACGTGCACATGGATTGAGCGTGCACATGGATCGAACGTGCACATGGATCGAACGTGCACATGGATCGAACGTGCACATGGATCGAACGTGCACATGGATCGAACGTGCACATGGATCGAGCGTGCACATGGATCGAACGTGCACATGGATCGAACGTGCACATGGATCGAGCGTGCACATGGATCGAGCGTGCACATGGATCGAACGTGCACATGGATCGAGCGTGCACATGGATCGAACGTGCACATGGATCGAACGTGCACATGGATCGAACGTGCACATGGATCGAACGTGCACATGGATCGAACGTGCATTTGGATCGAACGTGCACATGGATCGAACGTGCATTTGGATCGAACGTGCACATGGATCGAACGTGCACATGGATCGAACGTGCACATGGATCGAACGTGCACATGAAATGCGCAAACGTACAGCAAGGCCGTCGAAAGGACGCGCAGTGGATCAAACGAGAGAAAAAAACAAACAAACAAAGGAGGGAATGAGGGAATGGAACATACAGCTGAGTGGAAGGCATGTGAAGGATGCTCGATATGTGGCTTCCGTGCCGGCCCGTGACTGCCGTCTGATAGCCCTGCAGCCACAGAAATGGTTCCCTGCAGGGGCGAGGGGAGGGAGATGCTTGTGTCACGTTTGACAATTCCCAAAGGCGCATAGGCTGGGTTGTGCTTCCGGACCAACTATGCCGGCCCGTGACTGCTGTCTGATAGCTCCACAGCCACAGAAATGGTTTCCTGCAAGGTAAAGAGGGGAGGGAGAGAGCACGGAGGCGGGGTGGTGAGGTGGCTTCAGAGCAGCTATTCTGGGCTGTGACTGTCGTCTGATACCCCCCACAGCCACATTGCGAGTAGGTAGGCTCCTTCAGCCCAGCAGTGCATGCGTGTTGAGGCAAGCAGCAGCAGCACGTCCCTCTGGCATGCATGAGCACAAGCAGCACACAAGTATGCAGCGAAAGCAGCACACATTCCCCTCACCTCATGAGTGGAGCTGATCGCATGGCCTACAACGTGCAGCACCACCATTCAGCACCACTCAGCACCACTCAGCACTCCTCCCTCTTTACCTCATCGGTGGAGTCGATGGCATGCCTGATAATATGCAGCACCATGCGCAGCAATCGCCGCTCATCCCCCACCACGTGCTGAGGCACCTCCCTGCTGCTGCACCACACAGCACCACTCGGCATCACTCGGCACTCCTCCCTCTTTACCTCATGCGTGGAGTCAATGGCATGGCCTATGATGTGCAGCACCACGCGCAGCAATCGCCGCTCATCCCCCACCACGTGCCGAGGCACCTCCCTCGCAATCACCACTGAGAAGCTCAGTCCCTTGGCTCGCATCATGGGCCATGCCAGGGACGCCGCGTCGTGCAGCATTCGCCTTAGATCGAACGGACGGTGCTCCAGCACGAGACTGGGATGGGGAGGGACAGGGAGGGGAAGGTGGGGTGGGGAGGGACAGGGAGGGGAAGGTGGGGGGAGGGACAGGGAGAAGTTGAGCCCCTTGGCTCGCATCAAGAGCCATGCCAGGGATGCTGCATCGTGCAGCATTGCCTCTAACACAAGACAGGCAAGAGTGCGGTTCAGTGCGGTCAGTGCAGCATCACTCCTTACTTGATCTCTTGGTGCTGTGCCACCCCGAAGACGTCAGAAATGAGCGATGTTAGCATGGAGGCGCTGCGAGAGAGAGAGCAGCCACCATGGGTCCGCCCCTGCATGCGATTCAATGCGGTACCATGCGGTCCAGGGCAGTTCTGTGCAATTCAATGCGGTACTATATCCTTTCCTTACTTGATCTCTTGCCGTTGGGCCACCCCAATGACGTCGGAGATGAGGGATGTGAGCATGGAAGCACTGCGAGTGAGAGTGGCCACCATGGGCCCTTGCTCATCTGTTAGGTCGTCCTCCTGTTGCCATGCCCATGCCATGCCACGTCATGCCATCCCATGCGCATGCCATGCCACGTCATGAGATATCAAGCATGCCGATTGATGCCATCCAGTGCCACTCCACATGCCATACCATGGCATCACATACATGCTAAGCCATACAACACCGAGCCAAACCACACACACCATGCCACAACCTTACAAGCACACACACGTTAAAAGAACAGACAGGGTTAGACCGGGAGGGGGTGTGTTAAGGAGATGATTAAGGGTGTGCATACAACTCCTCATCCCATGCAGGTTGAAGATGGATTCGAGCCGCAGCAAGCCTTGTGGTCGTCGTAAAAACTACTAGCGCCGATTAAGGAGATGAAGAAGGGTGTGCATATAACTCCTCATCCCATGCAGGTTGAAGATGGATTCGAGCCGCAGCAAGCCTTGTGGTCGTCGTAAAAACTACTAGCGCCGATTAAGGAGATGAAGAAGGGTGTGCATACAACTCCTCATCCCATGCAGGTTGAAGATGGATTCGAGCCGCAGCAAGCCTTGTGGTCGTTGTAAAAACTATCAGCGCCGGTTAAGGAGATGAAGAAGGGTGTGCATATAACTCCCCATCCCGTGCTTCATTTCCTAGTCAGCTCAGAGATTGGCTCACCAGTGACAGGAAGACGAATGTGAGGTCCCTTGAATCAAGCACGCACACACCTCCATGAGGGAGGAGAGTGCGAGGATGGTGTGCAGAGGGCTCCTCATCTCATGATTCATGACTGACAGGAGCAGGTTGGAAGGCTGGTTTCATGGCATGCTGGGTGGGACTAGGTACCTAGACTTAGAGCTGGGTGGACCATACCATGCTGGGTGGACCATGCTGGGTGGACCATGCTGGGTGGAACCATGTACCTCCATGAGGGAGGAGAGCGCGAGGATGGTGTGCAGAGGGCTCCTCATCTCATGATTCATGACGGACAGGAAGTCGTTTCTGGCTTGAATCGCCTCCTCTGCTCTAATCCGCGCCACCTGCAGCGCCGCATTCTGCTCCGCCATCTCCTCCCTGCGCCTCTGCGTGAGCAAGTGGGAATGGGGGGGTGTCGATGAGGGGAGGGAGGGGAGAGGCGGAGGGGCGAGAGAGAGGGGATAAGGAGTGGGCACATCCACTCATGATTCATGACGGACAGGAAGTCGTTCCTGGCTTGAATCGCCTCCTCTGCTCGCACCCGTGCCACCTGCATCGCCGCATTCTGCTCCGCCATCTCCTCCCTGCGCCGCTGTGTGGGGTCGGGTGGTGGGGGAAAGGGGGAGAGGACATGCTGTATTGGAAAAGAAACTACCCTCTTCTGCACTCACCCGCACCATCTGCATGGCTGCATTCTGCTCCGCCATCTCCTCCCTGCGCCTCCGTGTGTGAGGAATGGGAAGGAATGGAAGGGGTGAAAGACAAGGAGGACGCCATTTGTGTTGACTCAAACGGAGCTGTGTGACAGTGTATCGAGGTGACTATAAGAGCGACTCAAGGGCTACCTGCGACCATTCCAGTACTGCAGCATGTGAGAGGGTGCGAGTAGGGGATTCCTGCCTACCTGCGACTGCTCCAGCGCTGCAGCATGTGAGAGCGCAAACCCCACTTGGTCCGCCACTGCTTTATTCATATTGCTCTCATCTCAAGTCAAATAAAGAATGGAAAAGTGGGGGAGAGAAAGAGTCTCTGTCCTGCTTACCTGCGACTCCTCCAGCGCTGCAGCATGTGAGAGCGCGATGGCCACTTGGTCTGCCACTGCTTCCACCATCTCCACCTCGTGCGGCTGCCACTGCCTGGTGGGTGGGGGGAGCCAAGGATAGGGATTGTGAAAGGCAGGGGGGGAAAGAGGGGGTACACGGAGTGGGAGGAAGGCGATAGTGACTGGGACTGCCACTGCCTCCACCATCTCCACCAAGGCGCACTCGTGGACCAAGGCGCGCTCGTGGACCAAGGCGCACTCGTGGACCAAGGCGCGCTCGTGGACCAAGGCGCGCTCGTGGACCAAGGCGCGCTCGTGGACCAAGGCGCGCTCGTGGACCAAGGCGCGCTCGTGGACCAGGGCTTGAATCCAAGGGGGCGGTTTGAATCAAGGGGGCGGCTTGAATCCAAGGGGGCGGCTTGAATCCAAGGGGGTAGCTTGAATATAGAGGGGAGCTTCAATCCAAGGGGTATCTAGGCTTAAAAAGGACACCCAGTCGGGTGGGGCCAAAATTCTCTGGACGCTGACCCAGGCGAGTCGGCAGGTTTTGCATCGACTCAAAATGAGCCGTGTTTTGGGTCGACTCAATCATTGCACGGGTACACCCAGGCGAGTCGGACCGGGTTTTGCATCGAATAAAAATGAGCCGTGTTTTGGGTCGACTCAAATCAGGGCCTGGGTACACCCAGGCGAGTCGGACCGGCCCGATATCCGACTCTGAGCATCGGGTCGGGTTCGGGTCGGGTTTTTACCCGATTTCGGCCTGGCCCGTTACCGTTATCATTGTCAGTTATGGCCAAGTCGGTTGGGTTTGAACCCGACCCCGATACAGTGTTCTTCAACCCAACCACATCTTAGTTGGGTTGTTTGGGAACTCATTTGACTTAGAAAACCATCCGGCCGACGATTCCGCTAGTCTACAACTGAGGCTTCAACACAGCCATTGGTAAATCGACCTTTTACCCATCCCTTCCCCCCCTCACCTCTTCTCGTCCCCATGCAGCACGAGCACCATGAGCCCATACTCCACAACCGAACCGTACTCCATATCAGCAGCCTCACTACCAGCAAATCCGTCACTATCTGCACCATTATTGCCACCACCACCACCACCACCACCAACAGCACCAGCGGCACCAGCTGCAGCCGCAGCAGCAGCAGCAGCACCGTCGTCCCCTTGCTGGCTGGATCGTGAAGCACGGGAGTGTGTGGGCATGTGGATTGCCAGACGAACAGCTGGGGGGGGGAGGGGCGAGGAGGGAGGGGGAGGGGGAGAAGGATCACTTAAGAGATCCAAACAACTCAACACTTGCTGGCTGGATCGTGAAGCACGGGAGTGTGTGGGCATGTGGATTGCCAGACGAACAGCTGGGGGGGACGAACAGCTGGGGGGGACGAAGGGGGAAAAAGGGAGGGAAGGGAAGGGTTGGCTTTGATGCCAACAACTCACCACCACACGTGGAAACATTGCGCTACTTGAGTCGACCTCTCCTCGAGGGGAGGAGGCGGAGCGGGGAGAGGGGGCAATTGGTGATCCTCGTGGAAGCAAGAAGCATTATTTGACACACGTATCACCAAGTTACCTGTTGGAGTAGGACGAGTCACCTGCTGGATCCAGGTCGAAACTTTATACGTATGATCCTCGTGGAAGCAAGCAGCAATTTTTGACAAAAGCATCTCACCGATCTGGAGATCTGGAAACCCGACACGAACATGACTCCATCGATGCCATGCTCCCCAACAGTCATGGTAACGAGGTGACTTTTGAGTTGAGTTGACTCAAAAGTCACGTCGAAACCCGACACGAACATGACTCCTTTGATGCCATGGCGTTCACATAGGCCCCGAGGGGCCCATGCGAACACGACCCCAACAGTCACCCACCTGCCATGGCGTTCGCATGGGCCCCTCGGGGCGTAGACGCCGAGCCAATGAAGGAGGATCGGGAGATGAGGCACGGGTTTGACGTGGCGATCACTGATTGGACGCTCGGGTCCGATATGTGCACGCAAATGGGCACCTGAAAGTACGGGAATGGGCGGGTGGTGTGGTTTGGGAGAATCAAAGGGGTTTTCAAAAATCTCAAAATCAGTGTGCACAGAAAGGCGCCATGTGAGTTCATGAATAGGACCAGGGGGGAGGTGAGGGAAAGAGAAGGGGAGGGGCAAAGGGGGGAAGGGAGGGACAGGGGGCTAGCTGTGGGAGACACAGTCGTGAGAGAGAATGGGATGGTACGCTTATATCACACCACCTATAGTCACACAAACCTCTCCTAGAGTCACATCACCTGCACCAACCTTCTCTCCAGTTCGTGTGTCAGCTCCAAATACTTTCCCGCTGCAAGCAGCATGTAACACCCCTCATACCTACAGTCACACCACCTACAGTCAAATCACCAACATTCAAACTGTTGATTGACATCACCTGCACCAGCCTTCTCTCCAGTTCGTGTGTCAGCTCCAAATACTCTCCCGCTGCGGGTAGCAAGTTAGGGAAAAACACACAGGAGGAGGGGAGGTGTAGGAGGGATGGGGGGCGACTGAGGGATGGTTAGGGTGGGGTGGTCCCGTGTTAATCCACACATGGCAGTGCTAAGTGCTCTCTATGTGTGCTCTATATACTCACACACTCACAGGGGTAAGGCGTGGTGCTGAGGATGGTGTGACTCCCCATGCATTTATGCACACGCTTCCAGGGGTCAGTAGCACTCACAGGGGTCAGTAGCACTCACAGGGGTCAGTAGCACTCACAGGGGTCAGTAGCACTCACAGGGGTCAGTAGCACTCACAGGGGTCAGTAGCACTCACAGGGGTCAGTAGCACTCACAGGGGTCAGTAGCACTCACAGGGGTCAGTAGCACTCACAGGGGTCAGTAGCACTCACAGGGGTCAGTAGCACTCACAGGGGTCAGTAGCACTCACAGGGGTCAGTAGCACTCACAGGGGTCAGTAGCACTCACAGGGGTCAGTAGCACTCACAGGGGTCAGTAGCACTCACAGGGGTCAGTAGCACTCACAGGGGTCAGTAGCACTCACTCACAGGGGTCAGTAGCACTCACAGGGGTCAGTAGCACTCACAGGGGTCAGTAGCACTCACAGGGGTCAGTAGCACTCACAGGGGTCAGTAGCACTCACAGGGGTCAGTAGCACTCACAGGGGTCAGTAGCACTCACAGGGGTCAGTAGCACTCACAGGGGTCAGTAGCACTCACAGGAGTCAGGCATCCACACGGTGCAGTTCTCAAGCATGAGCGCCTGTGCGAGCTCCACTAGCGTGGTGTTGAGGATGGTGTGGCGGTCCAGGGACTGGCGGATCTCGTATGTTAGCATACGCACATGCCGCCCCACCTGGAGGGGAGGGAAAGAAGGAACGGGGAATATGCAATGTCTCGAGGCCTGGGAGAGCTCGACTAGAGTGGTGTTGAGGATGGTGTGGAGGTCCAGAGACCGGCGGATCTCAATATGTCAGCATGCGCACGAGGCCTCACCTGGGGAAGAAAAAGGCATACGGAGGGAAAAAGGGGGGTTTGAGATGTCTCATCTCAACAGTGTTTGGGTAATGTGTGGCGGTCGGTCAAGAGACTGACAGATCTCATATGTCAGTATGCACACATGGCGACCCACCTGTGAGAAAAGAGAAGGGGGGAAGGGGTTCGAATTGAACTTGAGACGTCTCAAGGCTGCTGAGCATGGTGTGGCGGTCCATCCAGAGACTCGTATCGTATGTCAGCATGCGCACCTAGCGCCCCACCTGAGGGGGAGAGAGACTGATTTGTGCGTCAGGGAAAGAGACGCGGGTGGAGGGGTGGAGAGGAGGGAGGCAGGATATGATGGTGTGGCGGTCCAAGCAAAAGGATGGAAGGAAAGAGGGGGGTAGGATGACGGGGAGATGAGGGGGAGGGGGGGAATAGAGAAGTGAGCAGCAGAGGGATGAGAGCAAAGAAGAAGAAGAAAAAAACTTTCGCCTTTCCCCTAAGTAATCGACATCTTGCCTTGCTTCCTCTTCTCTTCTTGAGTCGCCTTTCTACAAACCAACCCCCCACTTAGCCTCACCTCCTCTCTTCTTCGAATAGCATCCATCTCCCGATCCAGCTGTGCAGCCTTGTGCTGCAGCGAAAGCTCCCGAACCTGCCAGGAAGGCACGGCACGGGAGGCAGAGGGGCTAGATATGGACGCTGGGCAGCTGGATTGCTAGCCGAATTCAAGTGTATGTGCACGACAAGCTATCAGCAAAATTTGCTTGCTGATAGCCCCCCAGTCGAATCTCGATAACCAACTAATCACGCAGGGGCAGGGGCGAACTATCAGGTAGTCATAGGTGCATTCGGAGAGGCCACTCGAAAGACGACACCTGGATAGAGCTCCAGGATACGCAGACTGGGAACGCCGCGCAGAGCACCTTGAGCACCTTCTGCACGACCCTCAGCTGCTGCAGGTGCTGAGCGTCGACCCAAAAGGACACGTCTGGACGGACAAAGGCACTTGCCTTGAACTTGAGGAGCGAGGGGATGATGGTGAAGAGCACAAAGGCTGTGCCCCATGAGACGGCCGCACAGAGCACCTTGAGCACCGTCTGCACCACACTCAGCTGCCGCGGGTGCGCACCGTACGTCCACACGTTCACCAGGTGGGTCAGGCCTGGTGGGGGCAGGGGCGAAAAGGCGAGGGGTGGGGAGGAGAGGAAGACGAGGCGTGAGGGGCAGGGAGAAGAAGAGTAATTCCTGAGCTAAAGTCAGGTGCCGCAGGTGTGCTCCGAACGTCCACACGTTCACTAGGTGGGTCGGACCTGGTGGGACAGGGCGATGGGCGAAGGGAGAGGGGCAAAGGAATGGGGGAGGGAGAAAAGAGGGGAGTGGGGACTGCTGAACGCATACAGAGCACGCTGAGCTGAGCAACATAGAGAAGAGCACGCGCCACAGAGCATGCATGCAACAAGGGGATATTCGCACCGCAGAGAACAATGAAGAGGCTGAAGAGCAGCATGACCCAGCGGCGTGAGAAGGTCCTGGCCCTCAGCGTGAGGTATGCGAGCTCGAGTGGGATGGACAGGTACGGCAGCGCGATTAGGACAGGCCCAGAGGTGACCACTGGCACTGACCAGCCCCAACCAAGGCAGCAGCATGCACCCACTCACTCACCACAAAGGACAATGAAGAGGCTGAAGAGCAGCATGACCCAGCGGTGTGAGAAGGTCCTGGCCCTCAGCGTGAAGTATGCGAGCTCGAGTGGGATGGACAGGTATGCCAGCGCGATGAGGAAGTCGCTCGCCACCTGGCAGCGCGCCAGGCTGTCCTCCATCAGCGCTGAGTCATCGTCGCACGTGCAGAAGAAGGGTAGCACGTGGGGCTTGGGGTGCAGGCTGGGGGGGAGGGGGGGTGCATGGGGAGGGCAGGGGAAGAAGAGAGAGAGGGAAAGGGAGGAAGAGAGTATGGGAGTGGGATAGGTGGGGGGTCTTGAGTCAGGCTGTCCGTCCTCCATCAGCACTGAGTCATCATCGCCCGTGCAGAAGAAAGGAAGGGAGGGAGGGAGAGAGGGAGGGAGGGAGGGGCGTGGGGCTTGGGGTGTCGGTTGAGAGACAGGGAAGAAGAGAAAAGGGGAGGCCCGAGGGGGGTCTTGAGTCATGGTGCTGTCGATCAATGCTTCGTGTTTTGAGTCGGCGCAAAACGCGGGGGTTCGTAAGTCATGGTTTTGTCTATAAATGCTGAGCCACCAGCGCTGATTCATCATTGCACGTGCAGAAGAAGGGCACCACGTGGGGCTTGGGGTGCCGGTTGAGAGACAGGAAAGAAGGGAGAAGTGGGGGCGCGGGGAGAGCCTTGAATCATGGTGTTGTCTAGTGGGGAGGCGGAGGGAGTGAGGGTTTTTCTGCCACGCCGGCCTCATGAATGCTGAGTCATCGTGGCACGTGCAGAAGAAGGGCATGGGGTGCAGCAGGTGGAGGGTGGGGTGGTCGGGGTCGATAGGGAAGGGGATTTGGAGGAAAGAGAGGCCGGGGGAGTGGGGGTTCTGCAGCCAGCCAGGATGGACCTACGAATGTTGAGTATGTGCTTTTCGAGCCTTCGTGGGAAGGGAGGGGAAGGACAGGGGAAAAGGAGGGGAAGAGGAAGGGAGGGAGTGGAGAACTCACCCGAAGACGCCGGAGGGAATGTTTAGCGCTGTGACGCCGGCCGCGAGGACGGCGGAGACGGCAGCAATGACTGTCACCGCAGTGAGGTTCACCCCGCTCGCCATGATCACGACGAGCTTGACGGACTTGACGCGTTGGAACGGAAACTGAAACGGCACAGTTTCGAACCACCCTGAGTCGCGCTGCGCGGTCTGTCGGCCCCTAGACGAAGTCCGAGGGATTTAAAAGTTCACACAACGTTGTATGATCACGGAGACATCCGGAGAGCATTTATTGCGCAATGCCGGCTTACTGAGTCAGTATGACAGTTCTCACGGTCGTCGGGGCAATGCGGTAACGAACAGTAGAGTTACCAGGTGGGCAAAGCATACGGTTACGTTGTTTGCGAAAAAGGGTGAAGATTGTTAAACGCCTGTGCGAGCTAAACCGCAGAATGCGGGGGAATGAAGCGAGGAGAATGGATTGTGCAAGCGAGGCTCGTCGTTATGATCCTCGAGCGGGGAAAACTGGGTGGATGCAGCAAATATGTGGTAGCAGACTGGCTGAATACTGTAGTTTGGAACTTGAGCAGAAGTAAAAGCTGTTACTTCCGGCGACCGAACAGTAATGGATCGCGTTATGGTAAGAAAGTCGAGCGCTAGGAGCGTGGGTTAGGAACACCAGCGAAGGCCCGGGGTCGGTCGGTCGTCGTTTTCGAATGAATTTGATCGGCTTGCTCAGCCATACAGGTAGCCTCTTCCTTAATGAATTTGCGGAAAGGTGAGAAAAGGCTTTGGCCGAAGTTTCTGTAATTGTACAGGCTGCACTGCACCATCAGGGGGAGGTCCTTTGTGTCAGGCCTGAGGGAAGGAAAAGGAGCAGGGGTAGAGGAGATGCAAGGGAATGAACTAGTCTGCACTCCACTGCCACGGTTGTGCTTGGTGCGTAGCGTTTTCGAGCGTTGTAAAGAGATGACTGTTTTTTTTTTTTTTTTTTGAAGTGAAAGCTTACACAATACAGTACAAGCAAAACACTTCAGTCGTAACTGATGGACTGGGATCAGGCTGACGGGATTCCGCCTGGCCCTCCCCACAGCTTTACGGGGGTTTCACGAAGGTTCTCGGGTTCGACCAGATAGATTGAAACCTACCCTGCCACTTCAGGCCCACCGCTTCATCGACACATATCCGCCGCATGACACGTGCCCCGTCCTCCGCCAAGTTCCGTAAAGAGATGACTGCTGATTACCGTACTGAAGACTAGCAAGCGAAGTAATGGAGGGAAGGGTAAACTACGCAGGCGAGGGTCGGTGACAGGAGGTGGGAAGGGATGTGGACGGATGCCTGCGTACCTACACGGTTTGCTGATGACGTCGAGCTTTGTTGAGGGTAAGTAGCTTTCGCGGGGGTACCAATAGGGACCCCGCGCTTTGTAGGGAGCTACAGTGCGAGCGGGGGGCACTTTCCGCCCCTCCGTGCCTCAGACAGAGGAATTCTAGAAACAACACAGAACTCTTCCCCACATTCACCCACGTGGCACAAGTTTCCATGCCAACTACTGCACTGAGCAACTTGTCAACTGTGCACAGTTGACTTTTGTCCCTTCTGCCAAATCGAATCCTCACTCTGGGTGGCTCGGCTGCCACTGTTCCGAAATCTGTTGAGCTAGTTTGTCGCGCCCTAGATTTCGAAACACAGGCCCAGCTCGCCAGACGGAAACGGAGAACACTAGCATTCCGTCTGGTCTACCGTGTGACTGTTTCCGTCAGTGGTTTCAGACACACATTACAGAAACGCGATTTTGCACATGGGCGTTAAAAAAAACAAGTCTCAGATTAGATAGATGGTTGATTCGTAGATGAATATGAATATCGCGGGAAATGAGGGTATTGAGTTTGGTAGTGCGTCTTCGATATCCTTAATGCATTACCGTAATAAAGCATACGGTAGTACTTACCTGATTTTAAAATCGTCATTTTATCAAGCAACTTGATATGCTTACTACAACACGAGACTCTACGAAACGACGAACGAGACACTGAAGAGGGACCATAAGCACGTTTCTTTTTAGTATATTTACATATGAAGTTGTAGAGTCTCGTGTTGTAGTAAAAGAAAGAAGGCCCATGGTCCCTCTTCAGTGTCTCGTTCGTCGTTTCGTAGAGTCTCGTGTTGTAGTAAGCATATCAAGTTGCTTGATAAAATGACGATTTTAAAATCAGGTAAGTACTACCGTATGCTTTATTACGGTAATGCATTAAGGATATCGAAGACGCACTACCAAACTCAATACCCTCATTTCCCGCGATATTCATATTCATCTACGAATCAACCATCTATCTAATCTGAGACTTGTTTTTTTTAACGCCCATGTGCAAAATCGCGTTTCTGTAATGTGTGTCTGAAACCACTGACGGAAACAGTCACACGATAGACCAGACAGAATGCTAGTGTTCTCCGTTTCCGTCTGGCGAGTTGGGCCTGTGTTTCGAAATCTAGGGCGCGACAAACTAGCTCAACAGATTTCGGAACAGTGGCAGCCGAGCCACCCAGAGTGAGGATTCGATTTGGCAGAAGGGACAAAAGTCAACTGTGCACAGTTGACAAGTTGCTCAGTGCAGTAGTTGGCATGGAAACTTGTGCCACGTGGGTGAATGTGGGGAAGAGTTCTGTGTTGTTTCTAGAATTCCTCTGTCTGAGGCACGGAGGGGCGGAAAGTGCCCCCCGCTGGCACTGTAGCTCCCTACAAAGCGCGGGGTCCCTAGTGGTACCCCCGCGAAAGCTACTTACCCCTTTGTTGATGCCCACCTCGAGCTTGCCGCCGAGGGTTGCCATTGCCAAGTTGCCATCTCCAAACAAGCCTGTGCCGCAGAGCACACGCGACAGCGAACATGTCGGCGATGGACACACTACACCTCAGCAAGTTCGGGTTCGCTATACTAGTGTGGCCTGTGGAAAAAATTGGCCAACAGAAAGGGCAAAAAGGTCTTTGCCCGTCTGAATTTTTCAAGGTCAAATTGAATTAAAACCTCAAGTTAAGGGAACCATAGCTCTACGGCCACCAGAACCAGAACAGACGGAGGCATGGGAGAGTTGATGTACCAGATTCCACTCTTCAAGGAATTACAGTACCTGACAATAAAGACGAATTTCTTCTAGAGGCCATCCTTGCATAAGTGGCTTCCTCCTTACTACGACTGACAAACACCTCTGTAAATCCCTCTCTTGCCATAACATTGAGACACGCCTTTCTCCGTAACTTGCCATCTTTCAACAACCGGTCATGAAACTCTAACAACACTTGGCCAACCGGGAGGGGAGTGTCCATCCTTAACCATTCATCGCAGATATCAAACTCAACCCCTTCAACATCTATCTTCAACACGTCAATGAACCCATGTCCATTACTGCACATGAATGTTGGTAACCGCATGACTGGCGCCGGCATGCCTCGGCTTTCGTACCGCTTTGACAGCTCCTCGTGCTTCACAGCTGTCATGGATTTCAGGCGGGGATTCTTGGGACTGAAGAAGGTGATAATGCCGTCTACAGCCCCAATGCCAACCTGGCAGAATTGGAAAGCGGATGGTTGGTCGCGCTCATGGTTGTATTTGAATAAGCTGCTCACGTGATCTGGGGTCACGGTGGGATCAAAACCGAAAACCTGAAGGGAGGGTGGGAATGGAAGGACAAGGGGTGTACGAGAGAAGGTAAGAAAACGACTTCCAAAATTCAAGGGACGAGCGCGACAGGGGGGGGAACACTGGCTCGAGGCAAGACGTGGAATAGCCCGTTAGAACAAGGAGGGTTGTATGTGCGTGTGTGTGGAAAAAGCAGGGGAAAGGTGGTGGGGAGAGGTGGGGATATAAAGTAGCAAGAGAGGGTGGGAAGTACCTTGTAGCATCGATTCACCATTTCATTGTCAAACGACAGCAATGACTCGAGTCAAGGCACTAGCATAACTCTTGGAAAGAGGAGGAGGATGGGCAGGTGGATGGGTGTGTGTGGGGGGTGGAAACATCGTACCTTGTAGCCTCGGTTCACCATCTCATTGTCAAACGACACGTCGCCTCCGATCCCAAACGAGTACACTATGCCACCTGGCCGCAGGTGATTGGTGCAGAGCATCCATGCGCCGTAGCCATCCTTTTTCCTGCCGCCCAGCTTCTCCAGCTTGCACGTCTCGTGCACCACCAGGTGCAGCTGAGAGTCATCCAACCTGTTGTGACAGGAGTGTATATTTCGGGAGTGTATATACATAATCAAACCTTCTTCCGAGATTCTCCAGCTTGCAAGCCTCGTGCACCACCAGGTGCAACTGAGAGTCATCTAACCGGTTGTGATGAGAGCAATAATATACATATAATATATATGAACAGGCTGTTCAGAGCTTCTGCTGCCTAGCTTCTCCAGCTTGCATGTCTCGTGCACCACCAGGTGCAGTGCAACTGACAGTCATACAATCTGTTATGATGAGAGAAATTTTCAATCGATTCTCGAGATTATTCTGCCAACCTGGCTTCTCCAGTTACACGACCAGGCGCAACTGACAGGGGAGATGATGAGACCGAGGGATGGGGAGATGATGAGACAGAGGGATGGGGAGTTGATGGGACAGAGGGATGGGGGAGATGATGAGACCGAGGGATGGGGAGTTGATGAGACCGAGGGATGGGGAGTTGATGAGACCGAGGGATGGGGAGTTGATGAGACCGAGGGATCGGGAGATGATGAGACAGAGGGAAGGGGTGATAATTGGACACAGGGAAAGGGGGAGGATGAGACAGGGGGAATGGGAGATGATGGGACCGAGGCACAGGAGGAGCACCTGGTGGCATCAATTCAGCAGGTCATTGCGACGACACGTAGGGGAGGCGGGTTGGGGTGCTGCTGAGGCTCATCTGAGATTCAGTTGAGAATTATATGAGAATCACCCACCGGCACAAGTGGAAGGTCACTGTACCGTGGTCGCGAATCGAGCTTAACCTTTGAAATCTCGAGGACGTGGATCATCTCGCGACTTTTGAGGCACCTCAAGAGCCGGGAATAGAGCTTACCCAGTGAAATCCCGAGGACGTGATTCGTCTTGAGGATTCGAGAGGCCATCCTGCTTCTGCTGCTCTTGAAATTGCCGCTGCTGCTGCTCCTGCTGTTGCTGCTGCTGCTGCTCCTGACCTCCCGCCTGCAGCTGCTGCTGAGGGGGTTGTTGCGGCGCGAAATTCACTAACGGTTGTCGCTGCGGCTCCTGCTCCTGCTCCCCCTGTTCTTTCTGCTGCAGCGGCTGCTGCCAGTTGCCTGGAAAAACATTATCCTGCCCGTTCTGCCCCAACTGTCCGTCGTGAGAAGAAACCCAACCTGGGACGGCATTTCCGATCGCATTGGATCGCGGCTGAGAATTAACGACGGTGGTGTACGAGTCTTGTCGCACGGTCGCATGACCCGGCGTGCACGCCTCGGAACACTTGCAACCGACCTCGTAACTGCGAAACAGGTACACTTGCACGGCGAGCGCGACGACACAGAGCACATGCCACGGTTTAATCTGAGCGACGAAAATGCCAAGCGGAGATGAAGCAACGGCTGCGGGTGCAGCAGTTTGAATTTGAAACGGCCAATGCAGTAGGTTATGATAGATGGACGCCATGCCAATGGCATCGACGAAGCAGGTATGCTAAGTTGGGTATCTTGAATCTTGATTCCCCGCTCACACGAATCCTCAGAGTACAAAGAAATGAGGGAATACCAAAACAAAATCGTCTTCAGCGTTTGGACGGAGTTTAGAGATCTTCTACATGTATACGAAATGTAGCTACACATGAAGAACTAAGGGAAAATATGCCACAAGTAACCAACTTGGGACTCTATAACGTAAATGGTAATAAAAATACGCGTAGGGTCACTGTATCGGGTTTCCTAACGGGTTTGGTAAGCGGGATCACGGATTCAGTCACTAACAATAGGTAAGAAATCGCGCGAAGGGTCACACATGTAACTCCCGCAAAAAAAACTTGAAACTCAACAAAATTCCCTCTCGCGCCCAACCAATCTGCGAACTTGTAAAAAAATGTCAAATGTTGTAGCCTGTAGTGAGGTTTGTCTTAGGGGGTACAGAAGTTAGGGTTTGTCATATGTACCCCAACCAACATCAATGGAACATTCATTCCTCATTCTGACATGGTATCAGCTAGGTTAGGATCCTGTGGGATCCCGTTCCTCCGTTCTCCGTTCGTACCTCCCGAGCCTGATCCTACCTCTCGTTCGTACCAGTTTCGTAGTTACCGCGCCTAGTACCGAGCCTAGCGCCATCTCCCCCGTCGCGTCACGCCCGTTCCCCCCAGTCGCCTCGCGCCCGTTCCCCCCGTCGCGTCGCGCCCGTTCCCCCCCGTCGCGTCGCGCCCGTTCTCCCCGTCGCGTCGCGCCCGCCTGTTACCCCCCCCGTCCCGTCGCCCTGTCCCGTCGCGTCGCCCTGTCCCGTCGCCCTGTCCCGTCGCGTCGCCCTGTCCCGTCGCGTCGCCCTGCCCTGTCCCGTCGCGTCGCCCTGCCCTGTCCCGTCGCCCTGTCCCGTCGCGTCGCCCTACCCCGTCGCGTCGCCCTGCCCTGTCCCGTCGCCCTGCTCCGTCGCGCCGCCCTGCCCCGTCGCGTCGCCCTGTCCCGTCGCGTCGCCCTGCCCCGTCGCGTCGCTCCCGCCCTTTCCCCCGTCGCGTCGCCCTCCCTAGGCCCTGACCCGTCGCCCTTCCTAGGCCCTGGCCCGTCGCCCTACCTAGGCTCTGGCCCGTCGCCCTACCCTAGGCCCTGGCCCGTTGCCCTACCCTACGTTTTGGCCCGTCGTCCTAGCCCGCTCTTCCGCTGCGACTGAGTCCTCTTCCCCCCCCGGTTGTTACTCGCCTGTTCGTTCGCGTTGGTTCTCACTATGGCGACTCCGCGAGTTCTTCGTTTCGACGCCGACGGTAGACCCCTTGACTTTTCCGTCAGGCTTCTTCGCGCTCGTCGTCTGTTAGAGAGTCAGGTCCAGGGGGGCGAGACCCTCTGGTGACACGCTACTGGTGACCTCCCCGAGCCCCCCGAGCCTACAACTTTAGACCCTGCTCCTGACGACGCTGTTACGGCTCGCTTTGCCCGTCAGCGCGCTGACCGGACGGCTTGGACGTCGCGTGACGCTGCGGCCTGCATCGCACTCAGCAGCCTCCTCCCTGAGTCCGAGGAGGTCCACTTTACTCAGGTTCGCACCGCTGCTGCGTACCTAACTACGATTAAGGCCCGCTACTCTACTCCCGCTACTGTCTCTCTCGGCCGTCTCTTCCTCCCGTTCCTGTTTCCTGATCTTGCCTCGTTTGAGCGCTCTGCTGACTTGATCGCTCACCTCCGCTCGCTCGACGCTAGTTACCGCGCTGCTTGCACTGAGGCACAGCTTGCACTGCTTCCTCCCCCCATGGCGATTACTGTCTATTTCATCGCCACTAGCCTCCCTGACCGCCTTGCCTCCGTTCGTGACGCGCTTCTGCTGAAGCACCCTAGTGAGCTGACTATCGAGGTCCTTGAGTCTGCACTCAAGGACGTCGAGAGCAACCTTCGTTCGGTAGCTGCCGCCTCTGGTACTGTGTCCCCCCCACTCTTCCACGGGTGCACAGTCCCGCAGTTACCCACCTTCACTGCCTCTCTTGCCACTGCCGCTACTGACGCGACTGCGGCTGCTGTTACGACTGCGTCGCGGTCCCGCGGCAGGGGGGGCAAGAAAGGTGGTTCCGGTGGAGGTGGAGGCGGAGGTAGCGGAGGTAGTGGGGGTGCTGTTGCGACTGGCGGTGGTGGGAGTGCAGCGTCTGGAGAGACCCCTCGTGCAGCGGCTGGTGACTCCACTGCACCTGCTGGTGGCGGCGACCCTCGAGCTCGTCAGTCGCCTCCTGTACTGCCGGCCCCGCTAGGTGGAGCAGCGGCGTGGTACCAGGCTCAGCGTCTGCAGCACCTTCAGCAGCAGCAGCAGCCCCTTTCCTCCCAGCAGCCTCAGCAGCAGCAGCGTCAGCAGCTGGCTCCGGGGTCGGGACTGCGTCAGCCCCAGCGCGGTGCTGCTTACCCTCCCTGCCCCTACCAGGTTCAGACAGGTCCTCGTCGGGGCCACCCTTGTGGCCGCTTTCACCCCCCTGGTCAGTGCTTTGCTCAGCTCACTGACACGGTCCGGTTGACCTACGGGGTTGGCGGTCCTGCTCCTGACTGGCTTCCTCTGGTTCAGCGCTACGGCTCCGCTCTGTGGGGCATGTCTGCTGAGCAGTTAGTTGATCTGATTAGTGCTCCTCATGCTATGTATGCTGTTGTTGACTCTAGTGTTTCTGACTCTGTTTACTCTGGTGTTGTTAGCTTAGGTGCTAGTCTTGCTCAGTTGCCTGTTGCTAGTGTAGGTACTTGTGTAGACTCTAGACCAGCGACTACCTCAGAGGACGCTTCGCTGTCGTTCACACTGGACTCTGGAGCCTCCCACTGCTTCTTTCGGGACACCACGACACTTACACCACTTCCTGCGCCTGTTTCTGTAGCGTTGGCTGATCCCACTACGGGACCAGTCACTGCACGTCACACTACCACTTTACCGTGTCCTGCTGCTCCCTCCGGGTCTCTCACTGGGTTTCACGTCCCCTCGTTCTCCCGGAACTTGGTGGGCGTGCGACCCCTCGTGAGCCAGCACGTGGGTGTGTGGTTTGAGCCTTCTGGAGAGACTGCGGTGTGTGTTGACGGAGACTCTTACCAGCCTCTTGCTACCTTTACTGCTGAGCCGGGCTCGGGTCTCTACACTCTTCACACTGGCCCGCGTGCGCCGCAGCAGCAGCCGCAGCAGCAGCAGCAGCCGCAGCCGCAGCAGCAGCAGCAGCAGCAGCAGCAGCAGCAGCACCAGCGGCCGCACCAGCAGCCCCCCCTACTGCCACTGCCCCCGGTTCCCCCCCCCGTTCGGGTCCCCGCGTCTCACCAGGTTGCTACGTCCCCCCAGGTGTCTGTGTCGTGTAAGGTTCCTATGTCTGTTCCAGTCGCTGCGTCGTGCTCCTGCCGGTCGCTTGCCCACCCCACCGTTCTGTGGCACCACCGGATGGGGCACCCGTCCCTTCCTCGTCTGCGCGCTATGTCTAGTCAGCGTCTTGTCCTAGGCCTCCCACGTGTCTTGCCGTCGCTGCCGCCTTCGCTTGCGCCGCCGTGTCGTCCCTGCGTCGAAGGTAGGCTGCGCGCCACCCCTCACTCCTCCTCCCTTCGTCCGGCCACCGAGCCTTTTGAGATGCTTCACTTGGACGTCTGGGGCCCCGCCCCTCGTCTAGGCCCTGAGTGTGAGCGTTACTTTCTGGTGGTCGTTGACGACTTCTCCCGCTACACCACAGTGTTCCCACTGGCGAAGAAGTCTGAGGTGACTTCTACGCTGATCAGGTGGTTGCTCACCACCGAGGACACTCGTGGTCGTCGTGTCAGCTGTCTCCACTCCGACGGTGGGGGTGAGTTTCGCTCCGGCATTCTCGCTGGATTCTGTCGCGAGCAGGGCATTCGTCAGTCCTGGACGCTTCCAGAGTCCCCACAGCAGAATGGGGTTGCTGAGCGCCGCATAGGCCTGGTCATGGAGATCGCCCGCACCTCCCTAACTCACGCCTGTGCCCCCCATTTTCTGTGGCCCTACGCGGTCAGGTACGCCGCGCACCAGCTGAACCTCTGGCCACGTGTCTCTCGACCAGAGGTTTCACGGACCAGTCTTTGGACAGGGTCCCCTGGTGTTGCGTCGCGGTTTCGTGTCTGGGGGTGCTTGGCTCTTGTCCGCGACACCTCCGCGGACAAGCTCTCGCCTCGTGCCGTCCCCTGTGTCTTCCTTGGTTTCCCTGAGGACTCCTTTGACTTCACCTTTTACCACCCTCCCTCTCACCGGTTCTTTGACTCCCGTGACGTTCGTTTCGAGGAGTCCACTCCGTACTACGTCAGGTACCCCAGTCGAGGTCTCCCGGTTCCTCCCCCCCCCCTCTTCCTGACTGCCGTTCCCCCTCCTGCTCCCCTGGTACAGCCTCCCCCCCCTGGTCCAGCCCCGTCAGGTGTGTCCCAGGCTACCCCTCCTCCTTCGGTAGCCCCTCCGGTACAGCCTCCCTCCCCACAGTCCTCCTCGCAGCGTGCCGCTGGTGCTAGCTCTCGAGAGGTTGGTACGGCGCCTGTTCGTGTACCGGTTTCTGGTTCTGGGGGTGCTGGAGTTGGAGCTGGAGTTGGAGCTGGAGTTGGCACTGGAGTTTTTTGTTCTGGGGGTGCTGGAGTTGGAGCTGGGGTTGGAGCTGGAGTTTCTGGTTCTGGAGTTGGAGCTGACCCGGTGGGTGCAGAGGACTCTTGTCGTCCGGGAGCTGGTGCTGGCCACGCGGACACTGGGGGTGCTGCGTCTGGGGGTGAGGGTGCGCCTCCTTCGGGTTCAGGTGACCCTGGGTCTGGAGCTGGTGTTAGTGCTGCCTCTGGGGGTGGTGCGCCTAGTTCTTCTGGGGTGGACTCTGGAGCTGCCGCTGCTTCGGACACTACTCCACCCCCCCACCCCTACCCGACTAGGCACCAGGCTCGTGTTCGCCGTGCCCGTGACGAGCAGCTGGCGTTGGAGAGAGAGGAGAGGGAGTTACAGCGGCTGGAGGAGCAGCAGCAGCTGCTGGAGCCGCA